ACAACAGTGTAGTACTATAGGACAAGTACTGAACTGCTAACCCCAATGTCAGCAGTTCAAACTCACCAACCACACCTTGGAAACCCACCCTAAGCAGTGTCCCTAGGAGTTGGAACCGATTCGATGGGGACTTAGCAACAGAATTAAAAAAAAAAAAAATTATTTTAAAAGGAGGGTGGTGCAAATGATTAATACTGCAAGGTTCAGTCCACCTAGAGGTAGGTGCCTCTGAAGACAAATCTGAAAAATCAGCTATTGAAAACCATAGTTCTCTAACTCACGTGGATAGGGTCTAGGGTCCCCAGGAGTCAGAGTCAATTCTCTATGGCATCTGGCTTTATTGTTTGTTTTGGTGGTTAGTAAACGGAGTATTAGTGTTCTGTGAATATGCCCACATTCTGAACAAACATCTACACTAGCAGGAGAGAGAGGGAGCGCGCGCCTGCCAGCTCATCCCCAGGTGGGGTGCACTTGTTGCTTCCTTGAGCCTCCCATTGACCACTCCACCGAATCCCTAGGTCTGCCTGGAAATGACTGGTTTTTAAGAGAGGCAGTTTTCTGGGAGAAGTGTCCTGCCCTGAGTGGTTCATGGAGCGGGGCATCTTACTCTGATACCTTGTGGCTACTGTACAAAAGCTTGCTTGCATTGGCACCTTTGGACAGAAGGTCATGCTCTGGTCAACTTTCAGGTGCAAAGCAGCAGTGTGGGTTTATTAAAAAGAAGGTAAATGGGGTCTCTGTTCTGTGGAAAGGGCCTGGGGCAGAGGAGGGAGCAAGAACTTGCTGAACTCGGTGGTTGCTGAGGGTGGAGTGATGTGCTGCCAGCGCTGCGGGGAGCCTCTAATGAGCTTGGCAATCAGAAGTCACCTGGATTTTATGTATATTGAGCCCTCTGGGCAAATGGAAGCAACACTCTACTTGCCAAGTGGCTCTGAGATTCTACTTAACTAAAATATTAAGACAGATCTTAATTGATTTTGTTCTCAAAACACCTATTTGTGATCAGACAGGCTTGGCTGGTGGGGTTGGGGGGCACTCTCAGAACGTATGTTGAAAGTTGAAAGATGGTTTTGTCATTAGCGGAACAGGAAACACCCAAATCATTAGCGTCACCGCACCAAGGACACAGGGCATTTGCCTTGCACTACTGCACACTGGAAGTGGGTCTCCCCGAATTCCACTAAAAGGCACATGAGTGCCACCTGGTACAGGGCCCCTTGGAGGAGCACCCACATTGGTGTGTGAACAGGGGTGGCAAGCTGGCCATTTTTAAAAGAAAACAGAAGCAATTGGGCACAGATACAAACCATGAAACTGACTCTTAATAAAATGTACAATGGCATTCCTTTAAAGGGAAAGTGCAGGTCCTTAGATTGAGAGTGTGTTTTTCTGGATGTTGGGAAAGGAGAGATGTTACTTTCTTTTTCTTCCTTAAGTGACTGATTACATTTTAAAAGATGCTTGAGGTTGGTACTCAACCCTTTCTTTGCCTTCCTGTCTTCAGATACTGGGAGTCTGGGTGGAAGGCCCACCAGCCTGGTTGGGGATTGTCAGCAAGCTTGGGATGGCCCAATGTGCTCATTGGCTTCTGCCCTCTCCACCAGCTTATGCTCATCTGTAAAGACCTTGCTTCTTATTTATTCGTTACTTAGCCAGGCTGCTAAGAGAACAAGGTGTGCTGAACTCAATTTTACTTTCTAGTAATTTAGGTTCACTCCTGATATTCAGGTTAGTGGGATTCTTTGCCCCCATGCGTGTTTAAGACAGGACTCTTGACTCTCCCACCTGCATCACAGCTGGCCCTTGGTGAGGATCCCTGAGCATCCTTGATGCTTCTCCCACATAACATCCCTCCTGAGTATGTAAGGCATCTTACCAGCTTCCTCCTTCTCCTTCCACCTCTGTTGTCAAGCCTCAGGCCCACCATGACGCTTGGGCCTTGGTAAGTAGGAGTCCCTGCCCAATGTCTCCTTTCATTACATGGGCTTCATGGTGTTCATGGAAAAATTCCTCTCCATGGACTTTTTGAAGCACCCCACTCCTTCACTCAC